CCCTAAACCCTAAACCCTAAACCCTAAACCCTAAACCCTAAACCCTAAACCCTAAACCCTAAACCCTAAACCCTAAACCCTAAACCCTGAACCCTGAACCCTAGACCCTAAACCCTAAACCCTAAACCTGTGTGTATAGCATATGGTGTATGAGTTAGAGGCCTGACTGTATGATACAGAGGCAGATACGAGAAGACAGGGAGGGATGCTGGAATGACGGATGAATGGATGAATGTGTGTGCCGAGTTGTGAATATGCGCACTCACACGTACTGACATGACATGACGCATTTTATTGTGTGAATGAGAGTGCATCTGTTCCGCGTCGTCAACATGTGGGTTGAATGAATGAGCAGAGGTCCCTACGATATGTGTCCTGTCCAGTCATCCGCTTGTGTGTCTGTCTGTCTGTGACATGCTGGACGGCCACCGCACACAGAGAGTGAAGATAACACTCAATGTGTATGGTCGCCGACGACCACGAGAGAGCCAGCACACCAACAGACGATGCACACCAAAGCAAACCAAACAACCCCAGAGTCTCCCCCATTAATGCGCCCATCCCATATTTCTCTCTCTCTTCTTCCCACCCACATGACAAAAAGACAGGAGGAAATCGACAAACCACACAGACAGAGAGGGAGGGAGGGAAGGAATTCATCCACTTCATATGCCCCGACAGCACCAGCAGCAGTCGGCAGTCTTTATTTCCTTTGTGTGCATGTGATGAGTGTGTGGTGCCTGTCTGTCAGACGCTCGACGGCCACCGCACACAGAGAGTGATGTCACGGTGGCGGCGACGCTCCCAACGGTCAGAACACCCACACACGATGCACACCGCAAAGGGAAACGACATCCACCGCCCGATAGAAAGAGATAGAAAGAGGGGCGCATACCCCCATACACTCACTCATGTGTGTCACTTTGTCTGTCGACATGGGATCATCACACTGTCGCGTGTCCGTTCATTTCCCTCTGTGCGCATCTCTGTCGCCACACGGCAACCCCAAAGCACCGACACCACACATGGGCTGATACTCTGAGGTTACCTGTTCGCACCGGAGATGCCCACAAAAGGAGAGGGGGGACACGCACGCGGGAAAACCACACAGATGAGAAACCAGACGCAGCCTCTCTCCCATTAGACACCATGTCAGACGGAAATGAAGAGATAGACAGATCAGTGTGTGTGTGTGTGTGTGTCGGCATGCCTGTCTGTCTGTGAGCCGCCTGTGTGTGACAGATGCACCGACAAGAGATCAACACACTCTCGCCAACAAACGTCAACCACCGGCAACGAACAGACAGACGGCAGCCCACACATGGCACCACACAGCGATTCTCTGCGCAGCCAATCAGCCAATCGTCCCCTTCTCTGTCTGTCTGTCTGTCATACTTCCCCCACCCCCCACTCACCGGCCCACACACTCACGGCAGCAGACGGCCAACACGCAAAACCCCACACAATCCAACACGGCACACTTCAGGACCCCCCGCGACACACAAAGGGGGGCCAGCCCACGAGAGAGACAAAGCGATTCAGTTAAGTCGAGTCAGTCAGTCGTCGACACATCGGCCGACACACCACACACACACACACACAGACGAGCAGCACTCAGCGGCCATCGTCAGTCGTCAAACCCGCCAGCCAACCACACCTGCACGCCACACTAACCACAGACAGACAGACAGACAGTCGGCTGATTCTGTGCTGTCGTGTGTCACATCCATCCCATCTGTGTCTGTGTGTCTGTGTGTGTGTCTGTGTGTGTGTGTGTGTGGCTGTCTGCCTGCGCACCGCTGCGGTGTTCGAAGGCAGTCGGCGGTAAGTCACCTCGGCGCCCTCAGCTGCAGCACTGTTTGACAGACAGACAGACATCTGCAGCACAGCAGACAGAGTAGAGCGGCCGTCTCACATCATGGCGATGCTCGAGGCGTCCCTCACTCACTGACCTGACTGACTCGCCACGTGTGTGTGCTTCTGCGTCGCCGACCTCAGCTGACAATGAAGGCAAAGTGACGCCAAAGGACGACACATCTCAGCACACAGCCGTCAGGAGGGCAGCACATCGAACCGAAAGGCCGGAGGGTTTGACGAGGGGTCAAAGGGTTTGTTACCCTATAGCCCCACGAGAGAGAGCCCAAAGTGCGGCGTTCGTGCGGCTTGTCGGACAGCTGTGCGTTGCGAGAGTGAGGCACTCGGCCGACAGACAAGAGGGCGAGAAGAGTCCCTCGAGTCAGTCGTCCTCTCGACTGCTGCCGTGGGTGGCGGGCCGTTGAGCTCACAGACATCGGAGGTGAGGGAGGCCCAACACTCACTGACTCACTGACTGATGCGCTCATCCACTGACCTCAGTGAATGCGTTGGCCTCTCTGTCTGTCTGTCTGTCTGTCTGTGTGCCTCTCTCTGTGTGTCTGTCGACCCGTTGGTGCAGTGTGGCTGAAGAGCGATGGCGGCCTCCTCATCTGCCGCTGCCGCAGGTGGTGGTGTTAGCTCATTGACCTCTCTCTGATCTGTCCATCTGAGCATCGAACGAGGTAAGCAGCACACAGATGTGTGAGCAGCATGCTTGATGGACATAATCCTCTGTCTGTCGGCTCTGTCGCTCTGTGCAGCCTCTCGTCGAGCGCCTCACTCATCTGACCGTCTTGGCCCATCCATCCCATGCAGTACCACGAGCATCAGCAGCACCCCGTGTCATATGTGTGTGTGGGCCGGAGGAGCCGCTACCTCCTCAGCGTCAAGGACGTCGTGCGGCTGAGGGCCACCTGCACCTGGCTCAGAGAGCTCTTCGGGCCGGCCCAGCTGAGAGATCGGCTCAGCCACTCGCTGGGCTCACAGGCGGGGCTGCGGCGGGCGAATGTGAATGGGCAGCAAGTGCAGCTGCTGCGGTTCTACGACGACCACTTCCACACACATGATCTGCTGGCGGCTGTGTGTGTGGTGGAGGAGGGGGGCTGAGGCGAGATGGCCGAGGTGATTGAGCTGGCGGGGCAGTGTGGCAACTGTGTGCTGCCTGTGACCCTCAGTAGGGCTGACATCAACACACACGCAAACAAAACGGTGAGCCGGGGAGATGAGGGAGAGGGCCTCACTCGTGTGTGTGTGTGTGTGTGTGTGTGTGGTGGTCGTGTGTGTTGGTGTATGTGTCGGCTCCCCGTGTGTTGGCGCAGCTCAAGATTGTCAGCCGCCACGTTCACTTCAGTGACGGCTCCTGCCTGCAGCTGTTCCAGCACGGCAATGGTGAGGTGCGGGCCATCAAAGACGAGCCCGGCTTCCGACTCACTGTCGACCCGCCCCTCCCTATCAACCACCTGTACCGGCAGCACAGACAGCTACACGACCCACCTGTGCGCAGCCGCATGTACAACTCGATCGCCGACGCCAGATAAGTGTCGCATAGCGGCGAGTATACTAGTAGTGATATGTCAGTGTCGTCGTTTGCCAAGTTCAAGATCCTCTACTACTTCAGCAATACTCAGCAGATCAATTTCACATCGACTACATTCAACAGGTAACACACCAAGGGCATCTATGGGGTCGGGCACACAACCAGAAGTCGTTTGTCGGTGTGGTTGGTCAAGGGGTGTCGGTGGCGGCCGTGTGGATCGCCTGTTGACCAAGTCGCCCCGCACACCAGTGGCCGGCTGCACGACCACGATGAGCTGGAATGAGGAGTGGGGCGGTCGTGAGACGTGTCGTGAGCGATGGCTGGTGCTCACCAACAGCAGCCACCCCTTTGTCGCGTGGATTTCCATTAGGGAATCCGAAGGGAAATGCGGTCAGAATGACAGAGGGATTGCTTCTGGTCAAATGTCATTAGGATTTCCTTTCTTATTGTCTGCAGTCTATGGGTGTGTCGAGACGACTGAGGTGGCTGTGTGTAGGAGTGGCGCCTTCAAGCCCCGCTTCCCAGTGACCACTCAGCTGGCTCGCGTGGTGTTGGGGGCGGTGGCGCCATTCGTATTCGACGGACAAGTGCAACCGCCGCCGCAGCAGCAGCAACAACAACAGGAGCAACAACAACAGCAGCAGCAACAACAACAGCAGCAAGATGACGATGACAATGACAATGGTACAGATACAGAGAGGGACATATTCAAACATTCATCGGATGGATGGACGGATGATGTCCCTTCTCTCTCTGTGTGTGGAATAGATTTGGACGATGGTGTGGGTGTGTGCAGATGTCGACGACGGCAGCGGTGATGATGAGAGTGACGATATGAATGACGGCAGCGGAGAGGGCGGTAGAAGTACACAGCCACACACACCCAATACGCCCCCACGTCGACCTCCATCACATTCATTCATTCATTCATTGATGTCAATGATGTGTGTGTTGTGCCCTCGGCAGGTGAGGGTGGCGCAGCTGAGGTGGAGGTATGGGTCGACATCTGGGGATTCGGAGACAACACCGGTAAGAATGACAGAGGGAGGGCTTGCTGCTGGTCAGATGTCGCGTGTTCTTCCTCTTCTTGTCTGCAGGGTCGGTGTCCGTTAGGACTATCGAGGCGCCTGTGTGTGAAGGTGGTTTGTTCAAGCATCGCTTCCCGGTCACCACTCAGCTAGCGCGTGTGGTGTTGGGGGCAGTGGCGCTATTTGGGTTCGATGATGGTGATAATGATGTTACGATAGACGAAGGGACACACACATGGATGGATGAATGACGTGCCTTCTCTTTGTGTGTGATGTCTGGTGTGCTCTGCAGGTTTCGGACAATGGAAACGATATAGATGACGGCAGCGGGGAGGGCAGCGGAGGTATACAGGCACACATAGATGTCCCCACGTCAATCTGCATCACATTCATTTGTGTGTACGTGCGTGTATGTATGTGTGTGTGTTGCTTCGGCAGGTGAGAATGCCGAAGCTGAGGAGGAAAGGGGCGGCTGATCGGCAGACCTATCAGTCAATACGTACTGGGGTGATCATGCAGCGATCCATCTCCTCTGTCATTATGTGGTTGAATATCGCCATGCCCTGTGTGTATATGTGTGTGTTGTCTCAGGAGGGCATCTCTTTTGTTTTAGCTGTCGTCATTTTTCTCTGTAGCCGATCCGTTTCTTCAAGACAGATCACACACCCATCACTCTGTAGACCAGCAGCTGCTGGTGTGTGACCGAATGGCTGGCTTGGCTCTGATGGATGGGTGTGTCGGCTGGCCTATGGTTTTCCCTTTTTGTCCATTCATCTGTCTTCTCTGTGTGTACCCCTCCTTCCATCCCTCCCTCTGTGTGTGTGTGTGTGTGTGTCCTCCGTGTGTGTGTGTCCTCTGTGTGTCTGTGTGTGTGTGTGTGTGAATGTGTGGAGGGAGATCCGCCCGTCCTCATCGTCCTCATGACTGCATGCCGCGGGTGTGAATGTGGGCGCATCTCGTGTGATTCCATCTGCTCCCCCAGCGAGCGATGTGTGACTGTATTTGGCTGCCCTTTGACTCACACTGCCTTGTCACTCTCCGTTTGCATGTGTGTGCCGTAACGGACATCGAGTGAACACTTCACTTAATTATACGGATGGCGATCTTATTTGAGCACACGCCACGCATCCCATCAATCACCCGCAGCCAAGCGAAATTCGCACCGCACCGAGAGAGACACCGGCAACGAAGATAAGGAACCCAGTACCACATAATGTTGTGCAGCAGTCACGCTTCTTGCTGCGGCCGTCCTGTTTGTTTGCGTGCCTTGTCTGCACACAGGCAGCATATTAATAGCAGACCGGGGACAAGTGAGATGGCCGACTGACCATCTTGATCCCTCTCTATGTGTCGACACACGCACGTTGTTCCAGCAACTGTGGCGGACACACACAAGCAGGGAGGATTTATGTGTGCGTGTCACTTGCAGTTAATCGATGGTGCACGAGATGCTTTTTAACAGCTCAAGTGAGTGAGTGCCTTCTACCTCCATTCTGCCTGTTTATATCGCCTTCTTCAATCGTCACCCCGTCGCGACATGTCGACGGCTTCTTGTGGTCCTTGTGCCTCAGAAAACCCCAGAACGACGACGGCACTAGCACGAAGGTGTGTGGGTGATTGGCAAATCAAGATATAAAATGCACGCGGCGATGAGGCCTGAAAGAGATAGAAAAAATTAACAAACCACTGAGCACACGGCGACTTTCCGACGCGCAGTGGATGTGCATACTTGGACTTCTGCGGCCAACTGGCGGTTACGTGAGTCGATCTCAGCCTGGCTGCAAAGCATCGACTCGTACTTGGCATTCCACACACCTGAAAGACCCCACACACGTGCGTGTGTGTCTTGATCGCATCAATTATGCCGTGTCTCTCACGTGTTCAGAGTGTTTGCGATCCTCCTCTCGCTGCGAGAGTTGCCGTCTGAGCGATTGGATCTCCTCCTGTGCCAAGTGGCGCTCAGTCACTCAGCGCACTTGACCACACGTCGTCCCCCTCATCGGCTGCGTCGGACGGCGGGTTGGGCCTCTCTATCTTCTCTGTGTTTTGCTGTCCGCTGCGTGCCGTTTTCTTGCCCTTCCTTCGCCTGAAGACCTCCTCCTCGTCCGGAGGGAACGTAGAAAACGGCCTAGACAGAGAGGGACGCGTAGCAGCAGCAGCTGCTGCAGCAGCAACGATAGCAGGCCCTACCAGACATACAAGACACACAGACAAAGACACAATATTGGCATGTATGTCTTTAGCGCGGTAGATCGGTCGCTAACATACCGGGATGGGGTCGATGGGGTCTGGCGCTAACGGTGGTCCAATCCCCACCCTAGCATACACACACTGACCGACCAGATGAAAAGCAAGCATACACACACACATACGTACCCACATGTCACAAACCTCCTTATATACCAAAGCTCCTTACCCTGATGGGCATGTGCCTGGAGCCGCCGTCAGCGTCATGGAATCACAGTCGATTCTCAATGGGGCCCCACTCCCTATGACTGCAATGACAGAACAAGTCAACAGACAGCCGAGAAAGACAGGCATTACAGTCACGTGCACTCTCGGCTGGCTGGCTAGAAGCTGCCCTCGCTGCGCACGCTGGTCGTTCCAGTACTGCTGCTCCTGCTCGCGATTCTGCGATGCGAAGACGTAGTCGTGACAAAGATGGTCTTCCAGTCACAATCATATAATATTTACCTGAAACTGCGGCGCATTGTTGTGCCTGCGCACCTCAGTGTTGTGTTGCTGCACATACAGCACTGATGTGTCGGCCATCGTGTGTGCTCTGCACATACATATACATACATGTCGTGAGCGTGTGTACATGTACAAAAAACGCACCTCTGCTTGGTCGGGTTCCTCTCCTCTACGCGCCAGCATAAGACAACACACACACACACGGCGACACCGTGATTGCGTGTGAATCGTCTTCGTGACGGTGGTCCGCTTACCGCTGCAGTTGTTGTCAGCAACGATAGACAGTCGACCGGCCTGCAGCACAACAGCATAAATATGAGAAGAGACACCAGCTCAGACCTTGTGCATCACCAAAAATGAAGACACGCGCACACACCGACTGCCGAAGGCGGTGCTTACCCATCGATGAGCACATGGGGCGGAACACGTCACAGGACAGTCGACTGAAGTCGCCACAATGTGTGTTGCATTCATTGAAGAGTGTGTGTTGGGGTGTGTTGGGGTGTGTGTATGTGTTAAGCTTGCCTGAGGTCTCTTTTTCTCGCCAATTTTGATGAGGACAGTGGTCCTTCTGTGGAGCCAGGTCAAACCCGATCTTGGTGTCTCCAATATAGACAAATCGTTCCGAATCGGCGAAGTACTCCGGATTAATACCCATAGCTTTACTCACCTCTTCTGTGAGCAACGTCTTTGGTGCGCCTGAGTGAGTGCACATACCGACAGACCGTAAGCCATTTTCATCATGCATGTGAGTCTGTTTGTTTGTCTCTCTGGCTGGCTGCTCGCATACGTCTGTGTTGCTTGTCGAGGCCTCAATGACCTTCTCCATGCCAAACTTCTCAGCGGCAGCCTCCAACACTTTGAGCTGCATCCATCCATCCATCCATCCCATCCATCCATCCATCAATGTGTGGTGTGGTGCTTTGGATGATCCTGTGTGTCCGTCCGTACGGTCTTCTGATATTGACTTGCTACGATGGTGGTATCAATTTCTTTCTTCAGCTTCTCCAAATTGGTCAGATCGAACGAAAACCACTGGCAGGCAGACAGAGAGAGAGAGAGATCTATGCACAGCTGCACACATGTGCGATTTCTGTCTGATGGACGCTAACGCGGTTGCCCTCTGCCTTTTCTGCGTCTTTGAGAGCGAGGAGGGCCGCCTGCATACAGTCAGACAGACAAACAGACAGAAGGACGACTTTGCCATTGCCCGCCACCCATGCCCTGTCTCACTCACATAGTCATCTTTCATCTTGATGTCGTATTTGAAGGCCTTCACCAAATTGGAATCCGCCGATGCCTTTCTGAACTGCACGCAGTGAATGTACACACACGCAGTCAAACACACCCATGAAGAACTTATTTTGAATGGCCTTCCCCCCAGCTCGTCCCACCCCACCCCACCCTCACTTGCCTTGTCGATAATCGTCGGTAACATCCACACGCAGAGTTTGCGCTTCTCCCGGCGGTCGACCTCTCCCGGGTGCCTCCCGAGGGAGGACTGCGTCTCCACCTGGAATCTGAAGACCTTGTTGAAGACGGGCAGTCGAAAGCCACATTGAAGCGATTCGAACAATACATACCAAGACGCACGCGCACACAGGACATCAGCGTGCGTCGTGTGTCCTTCTCTCTCTCTTTCTCCCTCTCTCTCTTGTTCTCTGTGTCTGTCTGTCTTCTGGGGTGCTTTTGCGGCTCGACCAAGGTCTTGGCACCCCAGGTTGCTTCCGGGAACGAACGCGGCATGTGCAGGAAGTTGGCTGTTGGGTCCCGCATGCAGTGAGTCAAGCGGGCAGAAGAATAGCTGATGATACACTCGAGCTGTCTCTTCAGGGTCATGACGATGGCGGCCGCCTCGGTTGCGGTGCGCCGACAGGCCGTGGACAAAAAAAAAAGCCCCTTTATCTCCGACCGACAGCAAGCTCCCGGAGTTCAGGAACGTCACCGTGCCATCATCAGCCTTCCTGTTCACGCCAGAAACCACACCACCAAACCGACGGCTGTACCTATACTCGTCTGCCGACACGCCTCCTTTCATCTCGTGCGCTACCGTCCTGCATGGGCCCAGAAGAAAGAAAATGTGCTCGTGTCGGCAATGCGCTTTTCTTACCGCCAACATGCTTTTTTGTCGCCGTCTCCTTTGCATCATTCCCCTGCCGTGGAGGCCTCGTTCAATTGGCCGCGTTAATAGCCGCGTTGCCGTCTTCGCCCGGCATGTATCGCATGGGGGAGGGGGGGGGGGGGGGGG